CCTATTGTACTTTCTGCCTTCCATCCTCAATTATTCACTTTTTCCAGAGATTCTTCATGGCATTTTTCACCTCTGCATTTCTTAGTGTATAAATTAAGGGGTTGAACATGGGTGTTAAAATACAATAAAACACAGCCACTATTTTGTCTATGGATAAAGTAGTTGATGGACGCATGTAAATAAATATACAGGGTACGAAGAACAAGGCCACAACAGTAAAGTGGGCCCCACAGGTAGAGAGGGCCCTACGTCTCCCCTCTGCACTGTGGGACCTCAAGGAGCGCAGGATGACAATGTAAGAGGCAGCCAGCATCAGGAAGTTCACTAGGCAAATCACACCACTGTTGGCCACCACGAGCAGACCAATGATATAGGTGTTGGTACAGGCAAGTTCCAACAAGGGGTACAAGTCACAGACAAAGTGATTGATCACATTTGGCCCACAGAAGGGCAACTGAAGGACCAGGAGAAGCTGAACCAGTGAATGTAAGAAGCCCCCCAGCCAAGCCACCCCCACCAGCATGGCACAGAGATGCTTGGTCATGATGGTCATGTAGTGCAGGGGTTTACAGATGGCTACATAGCGGTCATAGGCCATCACCGTGAGCAGAATGATCTCAGTTCCTCCCAATAAATGAGCAACAAAGAATTGAGTCAGGCAGCCCTCGAAAGAGATGGTTCTCCCCTCATACAATGAGTCAGCAATGAGTTTGGGGGTCATACATGAGGAATAACAAGTATCAATGAAGGACAAATAGGAGAGAAAAAAGTACATAGGGGAACCCAAGGTGGGGCTGATGATAACAGTGATCATGATAAGAAAGTTGCCCCCAACAGAAATTAGGTAGACAATCAAAAAGAGCACTAATAAAACTCTCTGCACCTTGGGATTTTGTGAGAGTCCCAGCATGAAAAATTCTGTGATGTTTCGTGGACTATCCATGAATTCTGTACTGCAGAGGAAATAAGAGATAAGAGATTTACCAAGAAAATTTTATTACTACGTCTTTAAAGACATTTCAAGGGATTAGGAAAATTCAGTGTCTATGGAATATAATTAACTCAAATCCCAAAACAAAGAGTTGCTAATCAAGTAAATAATTTTCTGCATTTCTAATTAGTAATTTTGACTAAATACAGAACTAAATTAAGGACAAAATAAAAAACTTCCCAAATATTACATCTCTTTCATGGTGTGAGACCCTGTTAGGGGGGATTTTCTCTTTCTCTCTCTTTCTCTCTCTCTCTCTCTCTAGCTCACTCTCACTCTCTTGCTTTGTCTGCCTACCTCTCACTCTCATGAAAAAATATGTATCATCCTTTGCTTTTTGACCATTAAGAATCAGTTCTTTTTTAGATTGAAATATATCTCTAGGAGTTTGTAATAATGTGTGTGTGTGTGTGTGTGTAATATATGGTATATATTATATACTATATATAACAATAATATAATAATTATATGTACACACACACTCATATAGCTAATGTATATTATATACTATATATAACAATAATATAATTATATGTACACACACACTCATATATCTAATGTATATATGTGTGTATATGTATATGTGTCTGTTAAATAAGCAGTTATAGGAAGATAATTTCCTTAATTGTTTTCTGTAGTTGCTCTTTCACAGCCACACTTCAAACTGCCAACTCCATTTCTCAGTGTACACAAGCATTTCTCAAACCTAAACTCCTCACCCTACTCACCCTAACCTCTTTCTCCCATGCTTTCTGTACCATCTTCTAGAAATATGTGCATCTCCTTTTTTCTTTACTACTCATTTCATAATTCCAAAATTAGTCACCACACCTTAGCAAATCTTGCTTTTTAACATTCATTCATTCCTCCATCTATCCACTCATTTGTTTATTCTAAAACATCCCAAAAGTCTTTTCTGAGCAGCAGACATGTTCAAATGATAGTTCTCAACACTAGATTTGGATCAATTAGCAAAGTTAGCTTATGGTTGCCCTGTCAACATCCTAGCTAGTCTTCTCTTCCTTATATCTTACACAGGCACTTGCTCAGTTATTCACATGGAAGCTGCAATAGAGATATTTGTAACATTTATAAAATTCAATTATTCATTTATGTTACCCAATTTAAAAGCTTCCCAAGTTTTCTTTTCATCTTCAGTACAAAATCAAAGTATTGTAATCTCCTAACAAGCTCCTGGACCCTACTGAGCCTTCCGCATTAACCTTCATCTCCCATCTCTATCCAGTACCATATGCTTTAACCATAATAAGCTACCCTTATCAGGTCATACTCCCTCACAGTAAATGGTTTTCCACATGCTATTCTCCTGGTCTTACATAGCCCTTCCCAGCTCTTCAGGCTTACTTGTATATGCCCTTAAAAACTAGACTCAGCTACCATCTCCACAAGGAAGATGATCTCTTTCCCCACCACTGGTACATTACAAGGCTTTCCATTCTATTTCTGTACACAAATATTATATCTCCATTCTAGCTCTTTGCCTACCATGTTGTATCAGTCTCCCTCCCTCTTCCATCCTACCTTTAAAGGATCTTGTAAACATGATTCCATGGAATTCCATGTGTTTAATATCTATATTGCCAGAACTAGAACAGAGTACAATGTATATTCCTGAATTAATGAAAACTAAACCAAAAAACATAGAAAATTCACAGTAACCAAATCTAAGGAGATTGATAGGTTCATACCAGAATTTTTATTACATCCTAATACGGCAAACTGATAGAACCAACAGGCTTCTTAACAGGTCATTGAGTCCATCCTCTTATATCATCTAGTCTTCCTTCTTCTGTTTTGAATGATGCATGTATCTAGATAGAATTAAAGAAAATTCCTGCATGGAGGGAAAAAATGCAATGAGAACATTATGGTTTCTTAATCCCTTCTCTGACTTGGAAATCCACTATTTAAGTGATCTGTATTTAAAAACCAAATAAGGGACCTCATCCATTTATGAACTACAGTGGCCAGGAGACAGCTTAAATGATGGTTTCCAGTTTTCTTTGCTAAAAAGCCATTACGAAAGGAGAGATATTTTTCATGAAAATTTGGATTCTGACTTTAAGGCAGTTTCCAACAAGCCACATATACTACCATAGCAGTAAACTCACCTTCCACTGAAATGCATCCTGCTCCCCTCTTGCTGCCTCTCCGGGGACAGTGTGAAGTAGAGGGTGAAGGGGGAAATGTCTGCTCTGTCTCCTAGATAATCCAAGCTCTTCCAGGCCCTTGGATGAAGTCATTAACCACATTGGGAACACCTTAATCTTCTTGCCCTGAGCACTGGAATAATTTAAATGTGTCTTCCCTGTCTGATCTGGAGAGACAGCTCCTTAAAGGAACCAACTTCTTCTCGCAAGTTAGCTTTGGATCAGTGATTTAAACACTGTAGTCCTGTGAGACACTGTCTCAGAGGCTTCTAAGTCTACAGAGTATGGCCCAGGGCCAGTGTGTGAAAAATGGAGAGGTGGACAAAGTTTGTCACAAATACAGAACTGGTAGCCCCAGATTTTCCAGCTTTCCAGGACCACACTTTACATAATTATTCAAACAAAACAGCTCAACACTCAATCTAGACTATCTGAAGGAGTTCACTCTCGTTCATATCTGTGTTCCTTATTTTTCCCTTTGGGAAAATTATTTAACTCATAACATTCTGCGCCTCCACTTCCTCAACAGTAAAATGGGGCTAAAAATATTGAGTCATCAGAAAAATCATGACACATTTTTTAAAGAATTATTTATCTTTATTTGTTTATTTTAATTCGACCAGTGAGGGACAGAGTGTGAGAGAGACAGAGAGAGAGAGAGAGAAAGCGAGCCACCAAGTCAGGGACTCAAACCATGGTCAGCCATGTGGGAGTCCAATGCCCTTAATTACCACGCCATCTGCCAGCCCTATGAAAAAATGTTTGAATAGAAAAAAAATACATTATGACTTTTCTGATGACCCATTAGTAATAATCTCTTAAGTATTATGAGGATAAAATGAGATCTTGTAGATTAAATGCTTAGAACAATGCCTGGCACACAGCAAGTGCTATGTAAGTATTTGCTATCATTACTGCTGGCATTAAATCAATGTCACTATTAGCATCAATGTTGCTATTCCCTGACCATGTACAGCTAGCCACCTCATCACTAGTCCCCTGTGCCAGTCCAGTCGTTTGTTCTTTTTCTTCATCACATGGACACTTGGTTAAATCATATCACCTGGCTATATTATAAAAGTAGTATGGTAAAGAAAAAAGAAAATCTTAGGACCAGCAGGTGGTATGGTGGTTAAGTGCTGGATTTCCATGTAGCCAATAGCAGTTTGAGTCCCGGACCCAGCAACTTGAACATGCCAGGCGCATGTGCAGTGTGTGCACAAAAATCCCCAGAGGAAAATAGAGAAGGGATTACAGCGTGGGCATCACCCCTCTGGGGGAGTGGGGTGATTTCTTACTTTCTGTCTCTCTGCCTCTGTCTCTCTGGTGAGTACACATGCCCTAACAGCAAAAGTCTCTCCAAAAAAAATTCTAAATTGTAATATCAGACACCATGCTCCCAATGGCTCCTAACGTCTATATGCCATGCGACTAGGAGTCTCTGGACCTGCTCACCACCAAGCTGGGTCTCTTGGGTCTCGTTTCCACTCAGGCCCCATCCCATCTGCAAGCTCTCTGTAAAACCCCTCCAGAGCCCCAAATGCATTCCTCCGGCCCCTTTGGAGTAAGCAAAAATCAGTTAACATCATTATAATTTTTCTATACATACTGGCATCTTTTTATTTGTATTAGTTTATATTTTATTCTGTATTACTAACATATCTATTTCATACTACTAAATAGAACTACTCAATTATTATTTTTTTGAGCGGTTTTTGCTATAGGGTACGTGCACTCACCAGAAAGACAGAGAGAGACAGAAAAACAGAAAGCAAGAAATCCCCCCCCAAGGGGGATGGCCACACTGCAATCCTTTCTCCTCCATTCTCCTCTCAGGATCTTGGGCATGCATATACACACACACCCAGCATGAGTTTAAGCCACCAGGTCTGGGACTATGACCGTGGTCACACTACATGGGAGTACAGTGACATAGCCCTTACGCCAACTGCTGGTCCTGTGGAACTACTCAATTATTTTTTTCTTTAACTTCTCCTCTCCAGAGAAACTTAGGACTATGCCAACAAAAAAATCAAAGGACTATGAAAATATTTCCTAAAAATGCAGTAGTATTCGCTCTCCATGTGAATTCTACCATCACCCTCAGTATGTTTACTGGTGTCATTTTTTAATATGAGTTCAAAACTCTAAAATTTTTACTTCATATATCCTAACCACCTTATCCTGAGCACCCAGTGACCTTCCTATTCCTACGACTTTTTTCAGTATCCCCAATTTCAAATGATTCTCTACCACAGGGGACACCAACCTTCTTCACACCAGGAATTGGTTTCAAGGAAGACAATTTTTTGACAGATGGGATCTGGGGAATGGTTTCAGGATTATTCTAGTACATTACATATTTTTTAAAGAGGTTTTTGCCTTGGGGTGCTTGCACTCACTGGAGAGAGAGACAGAGACAGTGAGAGGGAAATTGAGAAGTCAACTACCAGGGAGGATGGGTATGCCACAAACTCTTCTCCTCCATTCTCCTCCTAGGATCTTGGACATTCATGTATATGTGCGCAGCATCATTTTTTTATTTTTATTTTTGTATTTTTTTGTTTTTAATTAATTAATTTACATTCATTCCCTGAGCATTGTCACAGCATACAAAATGTGATTTCCTATCCAGAATATACTGCATAGTGGCTTAATCATACATGTTATCGTCAATAATTTTCCAGAATTTCCCCCCTATTTCTCACCCTCTGCCATTTCCCACCCTCTTCCCACACTATCTCAGGTGTCCACAGTTGTTGTTTTCCATTTCTTTTTCCCCCCACATTTTAT